TTTCACTCTTGTTGCCCAGGCTGGAATGCAATGATGTGATCCTGCCTCAGCCTCCAAAGTAGCTGGGATTACAGGCACGTACCACCACATCCACCTAATTTTGTATTTTTAGTAGAGACGGGGTTTTACCATGTTGTTCAGGCCAGTCTCAAACTCCTGGCCTCAGGTGATACACCTGCCTTGGCCTCCCAAAGTGCTGGAATTACAGATGTGAGCCACTGCACCCGGCTAAAATATATTTATTTCTTATAGTTCTGAAGGCTGGTAAGTCCAAGTTCAAGGGCGACACGTGGGCCAAGTTCAAGGGGTCTTGCTGGTGGAGACTAGATTCTCTATAATAAAGTCCTGAGGCATCACAGAGTATGATATGGTTAGGTGGCCAAATGTGCTAGTTCAGGTCTTTCTCTTACAAAGCCACTAATGCCTCATCCTTATGACCTCATTACATCCTAATTGCCTCCCAGAGGTCCTACCTATCAAGTAGCATAGTTGGAGTTCCCACTTCACTAATAGTATTACAATGGGGCTTAAGTTTAACATGAGTTTTGGAGACAAACATTCAAACCATAGCATTCTGGCACTGGCACTGTCCTCCCAAAACTAATGCTCTTATCACATACAAATACATTCATTCTATCCTCATAGCCCCAAAGTCTAAACTCATTCCAGTAACAACTCAAAAGTCCAAAGTCTTACCTGTGAGCCTGTGAAAATAATTTATCTACTTCCAAGATACAAGGGCATAGGATATACATTTCCATTTCAAAAGGGAAGGGAAAAATAGGAAAGAAAAATGAAGTAATAGGCCCCTAACAAGTTAGAAACCTAGCAGGGCAGACATTAAAACCTGAAGCTCAGCTGGGCACGGCAGCGCACGCCTGTAATCCCAGCACTTTGGGAGGCTGACGCGAGAGGATCCCTTGAGGTCAGAAATTCAATATCAGCCTGGCCAACATGGTGAAACCCCATTTCTATTAAAAATACAAAAAAACTAGCCAGGCATGGTGGTGGGTGCCCGTAATTCCAGCTACTCAGGAGGCTAAGGCAAGAGAATTGCTTGAGCCTGGGAGGCAGAGGTTGCAGGGAGCAGAGACCATGCCATTGCACTCCAGCCAGGGTGACAGAAAAAAGAATGAGACTCCATCTCGGGGGAAAAAAATAAAAAAACCCTGAAGGTGGAGAATAATCTCTTGTGACTCCATGCAGGCATCCTGTGACACTGAGGTAGGGAGTGGGCCTCCAAAACATTGGCCAATCTCATGCCTATGGCTTTGCTTGTTGTAGTCCACGTGGCTACTCTCACAGGTTGGAGTCAGGTGCCTGCAGCTTTTCCAGGCTGGTGTTGCATGCCGGTAGCTCTACAGTTCTGGGGTCCCAGGGTGGTCCTGCCCCTGTGGCTCAGAGTACACTGCCCTGGTAGAAACTTTCTGTAGCAGCTCTGGTCCCACATTTCCACTCAGCATTGCCCTAGTAGAGGGGCTTTCTGCAGTGGCTCTGCCTCTGCAATAAGTCTCTGCATGGGCCCACTGGCTGTCTGAAACATCCTTTGAAATCTAGGTGGAAGCTGCTATGTCTCATAGCTCTTGCTATGTGCCTGCAGAATTAGCACCACGTGGAGGCCACCAGGGCTTACTGCTTGTGCCCTCTGGAATGGGGGCACCAGCAAGCAGCATCTGTAACCACCTGCAGCACTGGATAGTGCTGCCAAGATTTACAGCTTGGACCTTTTGGAATGGCAGGTTGAGCCACACCAGCGGCCGCTTGAGCTAGAGCTGCCTGAGCAGCCAGAATGCCAGGAGCAGAGGCCCAAGGCAGCAAGCCCTTAGAGAGTGCCCTAGGCCTGTCCCTTTAAACCATTTTGCCATTTTAGGCCTCTGGGACCATGATGGGAGGGGCAGCTTCAAAGATTTCTGAAATGCCTTTGGGATCTTTCTCCCATTGTCCTGATGAATAATCTCTGGCTCCTTTCTAGCCATATTAATCTCTTTAGCAAAAAGTTGCTTGGTCATACTCTTGCTTTTCTCTGCTGAAAATACTCTTTCATTCTCTACCACATGTCTAGGCTTACAGTTTCCCAAATCTTTCTGCTTTGCTTCCCTTTTGATTAAAAATTCTGTCTTTAAGTCACTTATTCCTTCCTGCAGTTTAATGTAAGTGGTTAAAAGTAGCCATGCAATAGCTTGAATACTTTGTTGCTTAGATATTTCTTCCATCAAATATTCGAATTCATCGTTCTTAAGTTCAGCATTCCTTGGAACTGGATGGGAGTAGGGTGTTGCTATAAAACACCTAGCCTTGGGCATGGACATAATCCAGCCAAATTCCTTGCCGGTTTCTAAGAAAGGCTTTTACTCCCATTTCCAATACCCTGGTCTTCAGTTCCATCTGAAACCTCATCAGAATGGCCTTTACTGTCCATATTTCCATCAGCATTCTGGTCGCAACCACTTAAATAATCTCTAGGAAGTTCTAAACTTTCCCTAGTCTTCTTGTCTCCCTCATCAGAATCTAGGCTTTTTCTATCCTGCTCCTTCAAACTCTTCCAATTTTGCTCATTATCCTGTTCCAATGAAGCTTGTGGAAGCATTTTCAGATAACTTTATACCAAAACCTCACTTCCAGGGCCAGTTTTCTTAGCCCATTTTCTTTTGCTATGACTGAATACCTGATACTGGATAATTTTGAAAGAAAAGAAGTTTATTTCTTATGGTTTTGAAGGCCAGAAAGTCCAAAGTCAAGGGGCACATCTGGCCAGGGCCTTGAAGCTGGTGAAAACTCTCTGCAGAGTCCTAAGGCAGCACAGGGCATCACAGGGCAAGTGGGCTGAGTGTGCTCAGATGCTAACATGCTAGCTTAGGTCTCTCTTCCTCTTCTCATAAAGCATCAGCTCCACTTCTATCATAACCTATTTGTCCATTAACCCATAAATGAATTAATCTTCATGAGGGCTCTGCCCTCTTAAAGGCCAATCACCTCTTAAAGGTCTCACCTCTCAATACTGCCACATTGGGGATTAACTTTCAACATAAGTTTTGGAGGGGACAAACTTGCAAACCATAGCACCTATGTGAATTTTATGTTCCACAAACTAAAATATATATACTTCAGTTCACTCATGTAAATAATCACCATTTCCAACTAATAACATTTTAAATGTTGTATAAAACAATTTCAAGTATTTGAAATTTCATTTTTTAAAATCTTTCCTCCCACAATGCCTAGAGACTTGGAAAAATACATTCGTAATTTGAGGATAGTTAACACTTACTGAGAAGTATGTACTATACTACACACTGCTCCAAGTGGCTAACATGTTGTGTTGTACCAGTTTAAACATTGTTTCTGGATGTGTCTGTAAGGCTGTTTCTGAATGGGATTAGCATTGGAACTGGTGACCTCAGTAGGCTGTCCTTCCCAATGTAGCTGTGCATTATCCGATACATTGAAGGCATGAATAGGACAAAAGGTAGACGACGGATGAATTCACTCCTTTTTTCTTGCCTCACTGCTTGAGCTGGGACATCTCATCTCACTTCTTTGCCCTCAGACTGGATTTACATCACAGCTCCCCTGGTTCTCAGGCCTTTGGACTCAGACTGAATCACACCAGTTGCTTTTTTGGGTCTTCAGGTCTTCAGCTTGCAGATGGCACTATTATGGGACTTCTCAGCCTCCAGAACTGCATGAGTCAATTCCATATAATCTCTCTCTCTCCTACTGAAGAATCCTGACTAATACATGTTATTTATTCATTTAGTCTTCTCAACTTCCCTGTGAAGTAAAAGTGAGACAGGAATAATATGGGGTGGTCGCAGGAGAAGAGAAAATTCCAGGCAGCAGTTTTACATGACTAGCAAAAAGGAAACTGCCAAAATAGTTGTATAAACTAGGAGCTGATGAGAATAAACGAGGGGCTGATGAGATCCTGAAAAACCAGAATGTGAGCCAAGTTGGCTAAGACCTACTGGACCCAGCACGGCACTGGATTTGACCTGGGTTTCACCTAGTACCTCGTTATATGCTCATTAACATACTAAAGCACACACAAACCAGTGCCATGACTATTCTGGGAACACTGGTATTTGGTGTAAAAATCGGTGGCACCACAATTCCAAGAAATCTTCACCTTTTTCCAGGAATCCTCATGAATATTCCACCTCTTGATTACAGAAACACGTAAAGGTAGAAGCCCTAAACTCCAGAGTGACTCTCTTGAGTATGCCCACACTCCTCTTTCTTGAATGTGTAGTTTTTTGGTTTTTTTTTTTTTTTTTTTTTTTTTTTTTTTTTTTTTTTTTTTTTTTTTTTTTTTTTTTTTTTTACGAAGTCTCACTTGTTGCCCAGGCTGGAGTACAGTGTCATAATCTCGGCTCACTACAATCTCCGCCTCCTGGGTTCAAGCGAATCTCATGCCTCAGCCTCCCAAACAGCTGGGATTAAAGGCCCGCACCACCATACCCAGCTAATTTTTGTATTTTTAGTAAAGACGGGGTTTTGCCATGTTGGCCAGGCTGGTCTCAAACTCCTGGCCTCAAGTGATCCATACACCTTGGCCTCCCAAAGTGTTGGTATTACAGATGTGTCACCGCACCCAGCAGAATGTGTACTTTTCCACTTTGCAATAAATCTCCGTACTTTCACTATTTTCCGACTTGTCCTTGAACTCCTTCTCATCATGGTGTCAAAAGCCTGGATATCGGCTGGAGTTGAGGTCCCACCAGTGTTGGGGGACCTCCTCCAGCCTACCAGCATCAGAAGTATTATTATTTCTGCTTATACATAAGGTATTGAAGCACAGAGAAGTTAAATAAGTTATCCAAGGTCACATAGCTAGTAAGAGGTAGAGTCAGAATTTGAGCTCAAGTAACTGAGTAAGTAATTAACTGGCTCCAAGTTAAAGATTTTCTGTTATTTTTGTGGTCTCAAACTATAATGCATTATTTAACTCTCATTTTAAAAGCCACTATCCCCTAGTACACAGCAACACAATCATTTTAAAAAAATTATTTTATTTGTGCATTTTGTAAGCAACTAATTTAAACTGAAAAATGATGAAGTAAAGGCCTACAGCTCTAAGAATCATTTCTAGGATGGGCATGGTGACTCATTCCTGTAATCCTAGCACTTTGGGAGGCTGAGGCAGGTGGATCACCTGAGGTCAGGAGTTCGAGATCAGCCTGGCTAACATGGCAAAACCCTGTCACTACTTAAAATACAAAAATTAGCCACGCATGGTGGTGGGTTCCTGTAATCCCAGTACTCAGGAGGCTGAGGCAGGAAAACTGCTTGAACCTGGTGGGGTGGTTGCTGCAGCTGGGATAGTGCCATTCCACTCCAGCCTGGGCAACACAGCGAGGCTATGTCTCATAAAAAAAAAAAAAAAATATATATATATATATATTTCTACACTTATTAAATTAACATATGTTAATGATTATATTTTCCCTTTCCTAATTTATAGCAGCATATTTTCTTCTAAAGCCATCGTATATATATTTAAACACATTATGGAAACTACATGACATGAAGGACGTAAAGAAAGAAAATAATCAGAAATAAGTTAATTCAGATGTACGTATTCAGAAAACAATACTGAGCTTAAAGAATATGTGACTTAAAAATCAATACAGCGTCCTTTTCGTTCCCAATCTCCGTATCGTGTAGGTTCTGGGCCCCTGGGTCCACCTTTTTCTTTGGTCACTGGATTAACATCATCTGGAAATTCTAAGGAAAATAAGATATAAATAAAGCAGTCAATGGAGGTAGGAAAAGGATTATAGTCTATTTTATTTTATTTATTTATTATTATTTTTGAGATAGAGTCTCCTTCTGTCGCCCAGGCTGGATTGCAATGTCGTGATCTGGGCTCATGGCAACCTCTGCCTTCTGGGTTGAAGTGATCTTTCTGCCTCAGCCTCCTGAGTAGCTGGGATTACAGGTGTGTTACAGCAGCCTTGCTAGTTTTTGTATTTTTAGTAGAGATGGGGTTTCACCATGTTGACCAGGATGGTCTTGAGCTCCTGACCTCAAGTGATCCACCCACCTCGGCCTCCCAAAGTGCTGGGATACAGGTGCGAGTCACTGAGCCCAGCCTATGGTCAATTTTAAAGACAGGGTTGCATGATAGGCTAGATCTTAGTAACCAGGTTACCATATAGGCTTTAAATGAACTGTAAATGTAATTCTTTCTCCTGAGCTTGAGAAGAGAATACAAACTACAAATTCATAAGACCTGAAAGGTCTTGAAATAAGATTACTTTGAAGGAGTCCTTTGACCTAATGCCAGGTTTCTGAACAGTAAAATGGGGAGAACAATCATACTTTCCTCACTGTGTTGATAATTAAACAAGGTAATCCATGTAAAGGGTTTAGCATGGTGCCTGGTGCATAGGAATGCCAATTAATCTTAACTAGATAATTACTGTTCCTCATCATAGGGTTTTGGCTTCAGCAACTGGCTGGCTGGTACTGCCATTTATAAGCATAATAGTAATTATTATTCCTAATACCATGTGTCCGTAGTAGGACTCCCCATCATAAGCCAGGCTCAATTCTCAGCACTTTATGCATGCAAATTCATTTAATCTTCCTAATAACATAGGGGACAAGAACAATTATTGTTCCAATTTTATAGATGAAGAAAATAAGGCAAAAAGGGTTAAGAAAGTTGCTCTGTATCACACAGCTTCTAAATGATAAAACTGAATTTGAATTCAGACATCCTGGCTGCAATCTTGTTCTTAGCCCATACACTGTACTGCTCTGCATATGGAAAAAACAGGAGAGGAATCAACTATCAGACAGAGCTCTAATTCTCTGCTTTGTCCTGTTTTTTGAGATGGAGTCTAGCTCTCTCACCCAGGCTGGAGTAGTGCAGTGGTGTGATCTTGGCTCACTGCAGCCTCCACCTCCTGGGTTCAAGCAATTCTCCTGCCTCAGCCTCCTGAGTAACTGGGACTATAGGCACACACCACCATGCCCGGCTAATTATTGTATTTTTAGTAGAGATGGGGTTTCACTATGTTGGACAAGCTGGTATCAATCTCCTGACCCCAAATGATCTGCCCACTTCAGCCTCCCACAGTGCTGAGATTACAGGCGTGAGCCACTGCACCTGGCCCTTAATTCTTTTACTGTATCTATCTATTTATTTATTTATTTATTGTGGCCACCCTCCCAACACTTCCCATTCCTTCCCACATTTGAATTCTCTTCAGCAATTATCACTAATTTAGTATATTTAAAAAATTGATTATTGTCTGTCTCTCCCACTAAAATGTTAAGCTTCGCTATGGTAAAATTTGTCTGTTTATCCATCGCTGTTTCAGTGTCTGGCCCACAGAGGATACTTAATACATATCATATGAATGAAGAGATTTCCTCTTATCTTCACGGCAATCCTGTAAGCAGACAGTTTCATTCTTTATTCCACTCTTACTCTGCCAGGCCCTATGCTATGTAAAGATGGGGTAAGGGATACAGTAGTGACCATGAAATACAAGGCCCCTTCTTTCACAGGGTTTACAGAGTACTGAAGCAGGCCAGAAAAAGGGCAAACAAATACGTACAAGAATAACAAACTCTGGCAAGGCTAGAAAGGGAAAGTACAAAGTGCTCCATCATCTCAGTTTCTTCTCACCTGTCTTCTCATCCTAAGACAGGTATTAGAAGGAAACTGAAGCCCAGAGAGCAGAAGCCTCTGAGAGCTCCAGTTCAAACCCAGATCTGCTTCATCCAAACCCCAGGGTCACTTAGGTCTCGTTTACATTCAATCCCTGGAGAATCAGTTATACTCCTGAGCCACACACACCAAAAGACAACTAGACTTTTGGGGGTATGGGTGTCACACTCCCTCAAGGTGTGTATTCTCTGCTGAGGTCATCATTGTAGCTACTTACAGTAAGCCCAGATGTTTGAACCTATTCTATTGAGGAACCACACTGCTTGGACTCTGGAAGGTATAGAGGCCAAGGAACAACACCCCCTTGGCCTCGGAAGGTTTGCTGAAAATCAACTGATAAAAGACAGATTAATAGAAGAAAAGGTATATGGATTTTATTTTATCCTGCATAGCACGGGGGAACTGCAAGAGAATGATTACCCAAACTATATCTCTTTGAAAACTAAATGATCTTCACCAAAATCATAAAGCCCCTCTCTAGGCAAAAGAAAAAGGATACAGATTTTACCCTGAAAATTTTTCAAATATTCATTCTTTTATTATTGTTATATTGTGAATAAACTCTTCCTCATACTCATCATCACTCTGTTTTCTAAAGAATTCCATGCTTTAACTGCGATGCAAGTTGGCTTTTTCCTGCTCTATGACTCCCCCCGAAGGTCTAATGGAAGTTCTTCTTTCTCACTCATCTCTGTGGCTCACTGGAGGTCTTAGCTCAAGCTGCCATAACAAAATATCATACCCTAGGTAAACAACAGAAATTTATTTTCTCACAGTTCTGGAGGCTGGTAGGCTGAAATCACGGTGCTAGCATGGGTGGTTCTCATGGGTGCTTTCTTCCTGGCTTACAGATGGTTGCCTCTTGCTGTGTCCTCACGTGGCAGAGAAAGAGAGGCAGCAAGCTCTCTGGTATCTCTTCTTATAAGGGCATTATTCCCACCATCAGGAGACTACCATCAGCTTTATTAAAGTATTGTCTGCTTATAATAAAATTCACCCATTTTAAGTACGCAGTTCAGTAAATTTTAACAAATGTTTACAGTCAAGTAAATAACACAAAGTGTAAAACAGTTCCATCCCTTAAAGGGTTACCCTACTCTCAAGATCTAAACCTAATAATCTCCCAAAGGCCCCATCTCCACATACCATCACATGGGGGGTTAGAGCTCCAACAAATGAATTCTGGGGGGACATAATTCAGTCCATAGCACTGGGGAAGAAAGAGCAGGTCAAGATGTCCCTCCTCCTCACCGCTATTTCCAGCCTTTCATTCCAGTGCTCCACCTCTATAGCCTTTCTTTTTGGAATTCTGTAACATTTACTTATCCAATGCTTTTCTCCAGTCTTAACAATAAACTCAAAGATTCTTCTATCTTTTTGGATGGGATCAATATCTGGTTCATAGTTTCATCTCTCTCTCCCCATCATCCCTAATATCAACATTCACATTAATGAATCATCACATATCAAGGCTACAGAGGTCACCAATCCCTTTCCTGATGACTTTCATATCTAGTTCTGCCGTCCACTGGAGTTTATTATTTTTCGAGTATGTTCCTTCTCCAAATCCCAGACTCTTGTGGGCACTCTTCTGACCACAAACTCCTATATTTCCATGTCTCTTCTTCCTCACATTTGTTTAACCTAATTTTTTGCCCTTATAATAACCTACAGTTTTCTGAAACTTTTTGTTCTCACCATTAGCACCCTGGTACCTGCTCTCGGTGTCGCATTTTAGACTAATCCAACAGAATCCCTCTTCCACATTATACTAAGTGAAAGGAACCAGACACCAAAGATTACATATTGTAGAGTTTGATTTATATAAAATCCTAGAAAGAGCAAAACTACAATGACAGAGAACAGATCAATGGTTGCTGGGAGGAGGTGGAGAGAGGATGAATTGCGTGGTGCCTCTTTAGGGGACAGAACTATGTTATACTTTGTGTGGTCTCCGTGACTGTAAACATTTGTTAAAACTCACTAGCTGGGCACAGTTGCTCACGCCTGTAATCCCAGCACTTTGGGAGGTTGAGGCAGGTGGATCACAAGGTCAGGAGTTGGAGACCAGCCTGACCAACATGGTGAAACCCCATCTCTACTACAAATACAAAAATTCAGGCATGTTGGTGGGTGCCTGTAATCCCAGCTACTCGGGAGGCAGACACAGGAGAATGGCTTGAACCTGGAAGGCAGAGGTTGCAGTAAGCTGAGACTGCACCACTGTACTCCAGACTGGGCAACGGGGCAAGGCAAGACTCCATCTCAAAAACAAAAACAAAAACAAACAAAAAAAAACCAACCAACCAACCAACCAAAAAACACCTTACTCAACCATATGTTTAACATGGGTGAATTTTATTATATGCAGATTATATTTAATAAAGCTAATTAAAACAATCTCTATTCAAATACATTTCCTTACTGCTCACTGCATAAAGCCCTTACACTGTAATCTGGCAGTTCAGGCCCTCCCAGATTCGAGCTGAACCTGCATTTCCAGCTTTATATTCGATTAATTCAAGCCTATCCAACTTACAGTCCACGGGCTGCATGTGGCCCAGGATGGCTTTGAAAAGTGGCCTAACACAAATTCATGAACTTTCTTAAAACATTTTTTTTGTGTAATTTTTTTTTAGTGAATCAGCTATTGTGTTAGTGTATTTTATGTGTGGCCTAAGATAATTTTTCTTCCAACGTGGCCCAGGAAAGCCAAAAGATTGGACACCCCTGTATTAATTGAATATATACATAATTTATGCTGAAGCCAAAGAGGCCCATTAGCTGTGTCTTGCAAGTGTTAATGTTCTGCAGCCTCTTTCTCCAGGTATTCTGAGATATTCTTCTTACCATACCTTATCTACTTATAAAAATTTTAGTTTTCTGGCTGGTCATGGTGGCTCACGCCTGTAACCCCAGCACTTTGGGAGGCCAAGGCAGGTGGATCACCTGAGGTCAGGAGTTTGAGACTATCCTGACCAACATGGTGAAATCCTGTCTCTACTAAAAATACAAAAATTAGGTCACGCATGGTGGCAGGTGCCTGTAATCCCAGCTACTTGGAAGGCTGAGGCAGGAGAATCGCTTGAACCCGGGAGGCAGAGGTTACAGTACACTGAGATCGCACCATGGTACTCCAGCCTGGGTGACAGAGCAAGACTCCATTTCAAAAAAAAAAAAAAAAAATTATTTTCCCTAGACCCCAGCTCTCTAGTCTACTTTTCTCTGATCTTTTTGTGTATCTCTCACGTGAGTTAGCAGATGATGTCCTGCTCATAGTTATTTATATCATCTTCCCTTCTTATTCATCTTTATATCAAGCAGGGTGCCTAGCTACATTGTCCTTTATCATCTTAATAATCTACTCTTTTCAAGGAGACAACCTACACAGTTTTCTTAGAATAAAGTAGATACTAGAGGCAGGGAGACAAGACTAGAAGGAAGGAAACAAAGAAGCAGAGAGGCTTGTTAGGAGACCAGTGAATGACTGACAGCTTGAATTTGGGCCTTATTAGCAGGATGAGTAAGAGGGAATACATTTGAGAGATGTTAAGAGGGTAGAAGTAACAGGACTTGGTTAGAGATCTGTCACAAGAGACAGGAAGAGGCAGAAGTGAAGGATTATCCCCACGTTTTGGGCTCGGGTAACCTGGTAGATGGGGTGGACTGGAAATCCAGAAGGAAGAGGAGGATATGAGGTCAGGCTGGTGGGAGGGCTAAAGGTGAGTTGGAACAATGGGTATAGGATGACTGTAGTTTTGGAAATATTAATTTTGAGACATTTGGAATATGCAAAGAAAGATATTCAGGAGGCAAACGGAGACAGGAGAGTGACACTCAGAAAAGAGGTCTGATTAGAAGTATGAATGTGTGAATCATCAACACATAAGTGATATTTAAAATCACTTTAAGCCGGGTGCGGTGGTTCATGCCTGTAATCTCAGCACTTTGGGAGGCTGAGGTGGGAGCATCGTTTGAGCTCAGGAGTTCCAGACCAGTCTGGGCAACATACTGAGACTCTGTCTCTTCAAAAAAGTAGAAAAATTAACCGCGTGTGGTGGTACGTGTCTGTAGCCCCAGTTACATGAGAGGCTAGTTACAAGGGAAGATCATTTGAACCCAGGAAGTTGAGGCTTCAGTGAGCTGTGACACTACCATCGCACTCCAGCCTTGGTGACAGAGTAAGACTCTGCCTCAATCAATCAAATCATTTTAGGCCCAGTTACAAGGGAAGATCATTTGAACCCAGGAAGTTGGGGCTTCAGTGAGCTGTGACAGTACCACTGCACTCCAGCCTTGGTGACAGAGTAAGACTGCCTCAATCAATCAAATCATTTTAGGGAAATATGAAATCTCCCTAGAAATGCTTAGGGGGCTAAGAACAGAGGCCTGGCAAATACTCACACTTAGGTATTGGACAGAAGCAGAGGATCTTTAAAAGGGGCCCAGGAAGAAATGTTTGAAGAAACAGAGTGAGAAACTAAATAAAGCATGCCAGGTATGGTGGCTCACATTTGTAATCCCAGCACTTTGGGAGGCCGAGGCAGGAGGACTGCTTGAGCCCAGGAGTTGAGGCCAGCCTGGGTAACATGGCGAGACCTCATCTCTACAAAAAAGTTTTTAAAATTAGCTGGGCATGGTGGTATGTGCCTGTGGTCTCAGTTACTCAGGAGACTAAAGCAGGAGGATAGTTTGAGCCAGAAAGGTTGAGGCTGCATTGAGCCATGTGTTCATGCCACTGAACTTTAGCCTGGGTAACAGAGCAAAACCCTGTCTCAAAAAACAAAACAAAATAAAACAAAACACACACACACACACACACACACACACACACACACACACACACACAAAATGAAACTAAGGAAAGCATAATGGAAATCAAGGAAGGAGACTTCCAGAAGGAAATGTTAACACTGTCAAAGACTGTGGATTGTTCACATAAAACAAGGATCGAAGAGCACCTGCTGTATTTGGTGATGTTTGTGAGTACAGTTTCTAAGCAATGCTAGGTTCAACATTAACTTTAGTGATACAAAACTTACATTGAATGCCTGCCTACCATTATGTCCAATAGATGATTAGCTTATAAAATGTGTTGCTTTTTGCTTTCTTCTATTTTCATTGTGGTAAAATATATACAACATAGTACTTATCACTTAACCACTTGTAAGCATACAATTCAGCAGTATCAAATACATTCACGGCTAGGTGCAATGGCTCATGCCTGTAATCCCAGCACTTTGGGAAGCTGAAGCAGGTGGATCACCTGAGGTCAGGAGTTCAAGACCAGCCTGGCCAACATGGTGAAACTCCATTTCTATTACAAGTACAACAATGAGCCAGCGTGGTGGTGTACCTGTAATCCCAGCTACTCAGGAGGCTGAGACAGGAGAACTGCATGAACACAGGAGGCAGAGGTTGCAGTGAGCCAAGATCATGCCGCCACTGCACTCCAGCCTAGGTGAAGAATGAGACTCTATCTCAAAAACAAAAGCAACAACAAAAATATATTCACAGGGTTGTACAACCGTCACCACTATCTATTCCTAAAATGTTTTCATCATCCCCACAATGAACTCTGTACCTACTAAACAGTAACTTCCCCCTTAGTCCCCTGAGTCTCTGATAACCTCTATTCTACTTTCTGTCTCTATGGACTTGTCTATTCTAAGTACTTTATATAAGTGGAATCATTTAATATTTGCCCTTCTGTGTCCAGCTTATTTCACTAAGCATAATGTTTTCAAGGTCCATCCATGTTGTAGCATACATTAAAATTTAATTGCTTTTTATGACTGAATCGTTTTCCACTGTCTATATATGCTACATTTTGCTTAACCATTCATTTGTTCATGAACATTGGGTTGTTTCCACCTTTTGGCTACTGTTAATAATATGATGAACATAGGTATAGAGATATCTGTTCAAGTCCCTGCTTTCAATTCCTTTAGATACACAACTAAGAGTGGAATTCCTGGGTCAAAAGGTAGTCCTATGTGTGACTTTTTGAGGAATAGCTATACTGTTTTCCACAGTGGCCGCAACATTTTATATTCCCACCAGAAACGCATGAAGGTTTCAATTTCTCCACATCCTTCCCAATACCTGTTATTTTCCACTTTTAACTATTATAGCCATCCTAGTGGGTGTGAAGTAATATCTCATAGTTTTCATTTGCATTCCCTAATGATAATGATGCTGAGCTTCTTTCCATGTGTTTGCTGACCACTTGTACATTTGTATACCTTCTTTGGAGAAATGTCTAATCAAGTACTTTGCTATGTTTGATTTTTTTTTGGTCAATTATTGGAGTTCACACACACACATATATATATAATATACACATATTATATATTTGTTATTTATCATACCTCATTATTCATATAACAAAATATATAAGTTGAGACTCAAGTGCTTTGCTATTTTTGATTTTTTGTTGAGTTATTGAAGTTCTTTATATATATATAATATACACGTTATAGATATATAAAGTGGCTATATTTATTATACCTCATTATTCACATAAGTTAAGACCTTCTTTGACACAAATAACATGATGTTGATGTTATTTGTATCAAAGGTCTTAACTTATGTGAATATGGAACAATAAATACAGCCACTTTATATATATAATGTGTATATTATACAAATAACATGATGTCATCTGTATCAACAAATATATTTATATATATTTTGTTATGTGAACTTGTAAATTTTATGTGAATAATGAAGTAAAATAAATAAAACAAACACAATCAAATACCTGTTAGAGTCTTGAAAATCTTTTTTATTAAGAAACCCACATGTATTGTTGGTCAATATGGTGATTTTACTCATTGTTGAAATATGCTTTATTACTAAAGAATTTAAGCAATAACACATTTCTTTTCTTTCATTCATTTTCTCAATAACTAAAACATTTTCCTTGATACTTTAAAAATTGAGAGGTGCTTAACTATACTTACTTTCCAGTGGTTCTTTCTCTAAGTGGGAACCCTCTGGTGCATCAAAACGACCTTCTGGTAACTTTGGCTTCTTAAGGGACTGTTTGACAAGTTCAGACTTTCCTCCTTGAGAAGAACTTGTTTTCCTCAGAGAACGACACAAAAAGGGTGATCCTAGAAAAGTTGAGATAACAGAAAAATATTATTCCACTTCAAACATTTATAAATTTTATTTATTTGTTTTTAGTTTATACATTCACATTTCTCAAAGTACAAAAAGATACAGAGTGGAAATTCTTCCTTAGGCAGCCATTTCCCTTCCTGGATGACCACCAGTCTGAAAAGAAGGGCTATGAAATAAATTAGTTAACCATTATCAACACTGCAGAAACTTGTACTAAAGCATTAATACCTATCTGAAGCAATAACAAAAAAAAAAAAAAAAAAAAAAAAAAAAGGAGTTTGAATATTAAGAGTAACTTAGTGGTACAAACTTTTCAAGGACAATATTTAGGATTCAAATCTCTAAAAGTCACAAGTGGCTATATTTAAATCCTAATTATGGTCCTCTTTTTCTGTCAACTAAAACTTTAAGAATACATCAAGTTGGGCACAGTGGCATGCACCTGTAGTCTTAGTTATGCAGGAGGTCGAAGAGGGAGGACTGCTTGAGTCCAGGAGTTCAACTCTAGTCTGGGTAACATAGTGAGACCATGTCTCTAAAAAAAACATCGTTTTATGGGGAAAGAACTCCCTATTTGATAAATGGTGCTGGGATAGTTGGCAGCTATATGCAGATCAATGAAACTAGACCCCTATCTGTCATCACATACAAAAATTAACTTGAGACGGATTAAAGATTTAAATGTAAGACCTCAAACTGCTAGAATCCTACAAGAAAACCTAGGAAACACTATTCTGGACATTAGCCTTGGGAAAGAATTTATACCTAAGTCCTCAAAAGCAATTGCAACAAAAACAAAAATTGCCAAATGGGACCTAATTAAACTGAAAGCTTCTGTACAGTTAAA